CACCTAACTTGTTCCAACCGTCTACCACTCTGTTTACAGAAGTGAAATTTCCTTATATTTCTCCGGTAGCTTTGTTTCGTTAGTTTAAATCAGTGACCTCTTGTTCTTGAAGTTCCAGGTCTCAGGAATTCTTCTCTATCAATTATATCGATTCCTGTTACTATTTTGTACGCAATGATCATATCGCCTCTTTCTTCTATCTTCTAGTTTTTGCATATTAGTGCCTCTAACCTCTGCTCGTAGCTCGTGTCCTTCAGTTCTGGGAGCCACTTAGTGGCATGTCTCTGCACCTTTTCCAGTTTGTTGATGTGCTTCTTAAGATATGGGCACCACACAACCGCTGCATAGCTTTGGTCTAACAAAAGTCGTGAACAATTTCTTTAGTATTTCTCCATCCAAGTATTTAAAAATAATTCTGAAGTTAAAATGTGTAGCATAGGCTCCTCGCACAATGTGCTCCTCAGGTGACAGTTTTCTATCTAGAACCACCCCTAGATCTCTTTATCACAATTCTTTAAAGATTTATCACCTAATTTATAGGTTGTGTGGGGTCTATGTTCTCCTATTCCATATTACATAACATGGCATTTATTCACATTAAATTCCATTGGCCAAGTGTTGCTCCATATACTTATTTTGTCCAGGTCTTCTTGAAGGGCATGACAATCATAAGTTTCTTATCTTATCTATTATCTTAGCATCATCAGCAAACATGTTCATATAATTCTGTATTCCATCTGGTAGATCGTTTATGTAGACAATAAACATCACCGGTGCGAGAACTGAACCCTGTGGTACTCCACTTGTGACATTTCTCCAGTCCGATACATTGCCTCTGATTACTGCCCTCATTTTTCTATCAGAAAAATTTTTCATCCGTGTTAGAAACTTATCTGTCACCCCTCCAATATGTTCGTTTCCAGAACAACCTCTTATGTGGAACTCTGTCGAAAGCATTTTTTAGGTCCAGATAGATGCAGTCAACCCAACCATCTCTTTCCTGTAAAATCTTTGTGGCTCGATCATAGAAACTGAGTAAATTCGTTACACAGGATCTTCCAGATCAAAAACGATACTGTCTGATATTATATCATTTCTCTCCAGGTGTTCTACCCATTTATTTTTTATTATTTTCTTCCAATTTTTTTATTATTACACTTGTCAATGATACAGGTCAATAATTGAGCGGGTCTTCCCTGCTGCCACTTTTGTAGATTGGAACTATGTTAGCCTTTTTCCACACATTTGTTACAACTCCAGTACACAGGGATGCCTAAAAAATCAGTTGAAGTGGAATGCTGAGCTCAGGTGCACATTCTCTCAGAACCCATGGTGAAACTCCATCTGGACCAACTGCTTTGTTCTTTCTTAGCTCCTTGAGCATTTTTCCACTTCGTCATTAGACACCTATATGCTCTATGTTGTTCTCTGGAATTCTAATTGTGTCTGGTTCCCTGAATATATAATTTTGTACAAACACACTTTAAAACTTTTCGTTTAATGTTTCACACATTTCTTTTCCATTTTCCGTGAATCTGTTTCCCATTTTCAACCTCTGAATATTATCCTTTACCTGCAATATGATGTTTATGAAATTATAGAATAGACCTGGTTCTGTTTTACACTTGTCTGCAATTCCTTTTTCAAAATTTCTTTCTGCCTCTCTCCTCACTGCGTGTAGTTGTTTCTCGCACATTTGTATCACTGGGATGTTTGGGGGTTTGGCCTCTTCCTATATTGGTTCCATTTTTGTGTCTTTTGGTCTCTGGCCCTCTCGCAATTTCTGTTGAACCAATCCTGATTCCTGGTTCTGGATCTCTGCTTTGGTATAAATTTTGTTGTACCTTTATCATATATTTCACAAAACTTGACATATATCTCATTTACTTTATGTCCTAACAACAAGTCTTTCCAGTTAAATTCCTCAAAGAAATGTACAAGTTCCCCCATAATGTCCTCTCTTGAAATCAGGTTTTTCAACTGCTTCAACCTCCTTATTTTCTTCCAGATTATAACGCATTGCATACTTTATTCCCAAAAAGACATGGTCACTTTTACCCAAGGGAGGAAGGTACTGAATGTCAAATATCTCTTCCTCTTTCCTGGTAAATATCAAATCCAGCATGGAGGGAACATCCCCTTACCTCATCTTCGTAGTTGTTTAACATGTTGATACATGAATGTTTTCAGGATGAGGTTTACGAATTTACAAGTCTAAAAATCCTCTGTTCTAGCTTCATATGCCTCCCAGTCTATGGATTTCAAGTTGAAGTCACCGACTACCAACAGTCGTGATCTATCTCTATCTGGTCTCGCTATAATCTCTCTCATTATTGTTATAAGACCTTCTCGTTTACTATCCAGCTCCTCCTTTGACCATGTGTTGCATGGCGGTGGACTATATGCATTTATGATCATTAGTTTATCATCCTGATTGCAGATCTCTAGTGCCATTATGTCAACTTCTTGTGGATTGACAATCATTATTTCATTTATCTTTAGATGTTCTTTCACCAGCACAACATCGTCACCGTCTTTCCTAATTTTTCTGTCCCATCTCCAAACCGAGTAGCCTCTTGGAAATATGACTTCATTTAAAATATCATCTTCAAGTTTTGTCTCCGTAGGTGCAACAATGTCTGGCATCTGCAGCTGTATTACAACACTTAACTCCGGTATCTTTGATCTCGCCCCATCTATGTTGGTGTATAAAATTTGCAGGAACATGTTCCCCCTCTCCTTATTCTTTACTAGCCCTCTCTCTAGCGATTTTGTTGGTTCGCCTTTTTGTACCATTTTACTGGTCTGCCTATCACTTTGTAGAAAAAAAAATGATTTCTTCTTCATTCCTGCTCTCATTTAGACGTTTTGTTTCTACGAGGTTGTATTTCAGCTTCTCTCTGTGTCTTCTTTTATAAGATCTCGTCTTAACGACCATACTTTCCCTCCCTCATCACTTTGTACTTTTCTAGCATTCCTTAGTACTTTTTCCATCTGTTTGGCACCGTTTAGGGTGATTCTAAAAGGTCGATCTTTCCCTTTTACGTACTTGCCAATTCTCCTATAGTCGCACACATTAAGGTAGTAAGACCTTCCACGAGACCATAAATTTTATCTACTACTTTCACTTCTTCTACAACTCTTTCTGACATAGATGTTATCTCCGTTTCTTTGCAACCAAAAATTATCTGGGACTTACTTCGATCAACTGTGTTTTGCACCAATTTAGGATTTGATGCCAGTTCCTTTCTGACTTCCAGCCTAATGTTTGTTTTATCCTGGTTGCTGCAGTGTTTGGCTTCCTTTACTGATTCTTCTATTTTTCCTTCTTATTTTGTCACTTGTGCATTAGTGAGTTGTATATCTTTCTTGCACTGTTTTTTTCCCTGTTTAACTTCATCTGTACTGACAAGAGCTGTTTTTCCTGTTGAATTTCCTTACCTAACCTATTGCAGTCATTTATATTTAAATTTGCTTTAACATCTTCCAAAGCTATTTTTAAGAGTTTATTTTCCTCTTCCATGGCTTTGCTATTTGTTTCCAACTGATTTTTGTCCTTGCATAAGTCTTTCACTAACCCCTCAAGACCTAATACATTGTTAATCAAGTGGTCATTACTTTATTTCAATTTGCCGATTATTTCTACATGATAGTTCATTATAATATCTAATTTTGCCAACTACTTGTGTAGATTCAACGCCTTATTCATTGAAACCCCCAGAATCTAGCTCTGTTTTGTTTTTAGTATTGCCGGCGGCCATCTTCAATTTCGTCATCTGCACTGTTAACACTAGGACAACTTTTTCTCATCTAATTGTTTCACTTCCCTTGGCATATTCGTGTTACCTCGCCTATTTTTCAAAACCACTACTCCTTTATCTTCCTTGGGACACCACTCACTATCATCAATCTGTTCCACAATACTTAGGTGGAATTTTTAAATATCCTGGAGCTCCTCTGATGCAGGTGTTGACAAGGGGTGTCACCTTCTCCCGAAAAATGTAATGCCTTCATTGTGATTATTCTCCAGTTGTCATATCAACAGGTGGCATATATATTGCGTACTGTTTTCCATATTCCACTCGCCATATATTTATGTTGGCCCTTCTTTAATATCCACTTTGTTGGTACAGGTGGTACACAAGATCGTTCTGTTTCGTGTGATGATACTATGTATGTGGTTCTTGATCTCTTGGTCGCCCTCCCACCTCATCTGATGTTTGAAAGCGGTTCATAGAAACATTATATTACAGTAGTCTCCTTCAGTGTGTTTAGGGTTCCCAGGTCTTTCCACGTGTCACCTCAAAACATACTTGCAGAATTTCAGTTAAATGACGCCAATCAACATTGACTCTTGACAAACAATTCACACACAACTCTTGCCGAAAGAGCACGGAGGTCCAAGTAATTTATTTGGACCTCATTCCTTCTGAAGATGTATTAATATACGAAAGTACTTAAGGAAATTCCTGTTGCAATTCTTCCTCCGTGGTCTGACACTGTCATAAATTAATTTATATACTTAGGCAAATTGAACACTGCCTATGCTCCTAGCTTACGTTGAAGGGTTTGATAATGTTGTATGAGCTAATTGTCTGCTGTAAGCTCTGTTACTGCTCATACCACTACTCAGTCTTGGCACGAAACTGGGTTTACTTTCCTACTCGCTATGGTATATTTGGCTTATCTACTGATTTCCTGCATCATCTCTATGTTATACGATATGTTGCCGATCATACTGAAGGATTTTTTGTGGTGGGGAGGGAGGGAATCCTTACAAAACGAGATCTGCTTTTCTACCGATTATATTCCTGAATCATAGTTTTATTTCCATTATCTTGCACATTGCATTGCAGTATTTGTTATAGGCAGATTTTTTTCTTGTTACTGTCTATCCAAATCGAACGCCTCTACTGATGTCGAATCCAAATTCTAAATTTCGCTGGTGGTGGTCCTGTATATCAGACTGCACTGATTGCTCAGGCTCGACTACTGTGTTGTTACTTTCCATGCACCTCGCTTAGTCTGTACTTCCTGCCGCTGTTTTTGTGGGATCTTGTCGATAGTGTGGTGTCTACCTTCTTGGATCTTGGCGATGGTGTGGTGTCTGCCTTCTTGGATCTTGGCGATGGTGTGGTGTCTGCCTTCTTGGATCTTGGCGATGGTGTGGTGTCTGCCTTCTTGGATCTTGGCGATGGTGTGGTGTCCGCCTTCTTGGATCTTGTCGATGGTGTGGTGTCTGCCTTCTTGGATCTTGTCGATGGTGTGGTGTCTACCTTCTTGGATCTTGTCGATTGTGTGGTGTCTGCCTTCTTGGATCTTGTCGATGGTGTGGTGTCTACCTTCTTGGATCTTGTCGATGGTGTGGTGTCTGCCTTCTTGGATCTTGTCGATGGTGTGGTGTCTGCCTTCTTGGATCTTGTCGATGGTGTGGTGTCTACCTTCTTGGATCTTGTCTCGTCTGCTTGGCTGCTGTTATTCTGCGTGTCCATATATTGTTTTTATTCTTCGCTCAACCGCTTGGGCTGAGACGGTAGAGCGATGGTCTCGCTTCATGCAGGTCGGCGTTCAATCCCCCGACCGTTCAAAGTTGTTGGGAGCACCATTCCTTACCTCCGTCCCATCCCAAATCCTTATCCTGACTCCTTCCAAGTGCTATATAGTCGTAATGGCTTGGTGCTTTCCCAGTGATAATTCCCTTTCTCGTCTCCTGTTGTCTTATTTTCTGTTGCTTTAGTACCTGGTGTGCTACACCACCTTTTCCATTATTTAACCAAAGGTTTTGGAAGCCTTTTGTTATAAATGTTCTTTATATTCTGTAGGCGATTGATAATGATCTCCGAAATTATCTTAAAGTTTTCCAGCTGCTTCTCTTACAACCTGATATTTAGAATGTCTTGAAATGATTTAGTCTTGCTTCAATGTTGTATTTTTATACATTTTTGTTATACTGTCCGTTAGAGGGTTTGTAGAATCTGGTAATTGTCTTCAACGGGAGTCTGCAATTTATGCTGCAATTTTGCGCATAGTCCAAAAGATGGCACATCATTCTAGTCTGTATGAATAGCTTGAACATTTTGTACATTTATTATTTCTTGTGAAGCTGCGTGTGCGCCATGCGTGAAGTTGGTCTCGAAAATTGGGTTATTGAGGACTGGTTATTTTGAGGTTATCTTGAGATGATTTCGGGGCTTTTAGTGTCCCCGCGGCCCGGTCCTCGACCAGGCCTCCATCCCCAGGAAGCAGCCTGTGACAGCTGACTAACACCCAGTTACCTATTTTACTGGTAGGTAACAGGGGCATAGTGAAAAAAAAAACTGCCCATAGTTTCTCGCCGGCGCCCGGAATCGAACTCCGGACCACAGGATCACAAGTCCAGCGTGCTGGCCGCTCGGCTCCATAAGTCTACCTCCTGGTAGGTCTTGTGGTTGGCTGTACAATCCGCATATCTTGCGCCTTCCAATACGCGTTTGTCAGTACTTTATTTGTTTACATTTAAATTTATGTATAGGTTCTGGAGCGCTGCTTTGTGTCGGTATAGTTAGCAATTTCAAAGATTTAATGGTTCTTGGACCCGTGTTATTATCGTCTCTAAACTGTGTGTTGCTGGTTTATCAATCTTTGAAGTATCGTTCAACATTGCAGATTCGGTTTCTCTTATTAAATTTTGCGGGGGATTCAACCCAATTGTAATATTTGTCTGAATCTTTCTGAGGAGTCCAATTTTATCAATCACTTTTGCAGGACTCAATTTGTTCAATTTATCTTGCAGGACTTTTACCGTTTCTAAGCATATAACAATCTTTACATTTGGTGGCGTCACTATAATTTCTACTTTCAGGTTGTCTAATGGAAAGTTTCAATCCTGGCTGCTACTTTACCATAGTTGTTACTACCTCAAGAGCTGTAGTGAAGTCGTGTATCTGCATTATCATAAACTTTTGGAAGATTTGCAGTGTGTTGACCAAACCACATATACTAGAAGATTTGTTTTGCTTGGATATTCCTGCGTGGGTTCTAAGCCTATGGCTGGCTTACTAATTGTTACTTGATTATTGTTTTTGTTTTACTTAGGAGGAGATATGAGTGTTTATGACTATGTTCGCTTCAGTAAGATTTTGCCATATGTGTTTAACAACAACAACTGCTCTGTTGAATCCGAGTTGAAATTTTATTGGGTTTGTAACTGTGCACTGTGTTAGATAATGTTCCAGTGGTCTGTTGTGGTTGTAACTGTGCACTGTGTTAGATAATGTTCCAGTGGTCTGTTGTGGTTGTAACTGTGCACTGTGTTAGATAATGTTCCAGTGGTCTGTTGTGGTTGTAACTGTGCACTGTGTTACATAATGTTTCAATGGTCTGTCGGGCATCACTTGAAGATGAGACAAACGACGTTTCGACTTGAGAATGGTCCAGGACGGACCGAAACGTCGTCGTCCCTTCATCTTCTAGTGCGTGACTTGGTCAACATTTCTTCAGCCACGTTATTGTGACTCATCATCAGCAATGTCTTGACCGTCGTGCTGACCTTTCAAGCTTCACAATGTTGACCTCAACCTAGTGGTCTGGTGTCGCCTGGGAGTTTCCTGCGCATAAGTTCGAATCCTCGACACGGCTCCTGATATGTTCATTGATACATCACGGTGGTAGGATTTCTTTGTGCATATGGCGTCTTGCTTATTGTAGGACTGTGTAGCCACGAAAGCAGTTTGATGATGAACTTTCTGCCTATCTGTGTATAGTCGCTCCTCTGATTCTCAGTACTGCCTCCATTTCCTCTTGCTCTGATTTTCTCCTCCACACATGTTGCCGTCCGCATAGTTAAAAAAAAATCACTACCTTCCTATCTTCTTGAGGTTATCTTGAGATGATTTCGGGGCTTTAGTGTCTCCGCGGCCCGGTCCTCGACCAGGCCTCCACCCCCAGGAAATAGCCCGTGACAGCTGACTAACACCAAGGTACCTATTTTACTGCTAGGTAACAGGGGCATAGGGTGAAAGAAACTCTGCCCATTGTTTCTCGCCGGCGCCCGGGATCGAACCCAGGATCACAAGACCAGGGTGCTGTCCGCTCGGCCGACAGGCTCCCTACTGCCTCACCTATTGCCCGAGACACTCCAAAGCCTAAATAAATTCACCTCTAACAGAGGTCGAAAATTGACTCCCTCGGGTGCACTCGGAGATATCAAACGCTTAAGAAGTTAGTTGGTCTACCTTTCCAATAGGCTGGATACACTTTCTAAGGGGCCTCTTTGTGGATGGCACTGCCCGCTCGTTTCCTTGTAACTTGCAGGGTGCAACTAAGTGTTCATATTATATATAAAATCCATATTTGTATATCTATCTTGGTCAATAAAGAGGCTAGGTTGAATGATGCATGTTGGTTAATAGTTTGATGGCTATTTCATATTATCCTTTGATTTTATTTTCTGTAATTTTTTTTCTTTGCTAGACAGGAAAAAGGGCTTTCCGGAAGGTAGGTGCTGCAACGTAAACATTTTAGTCAAAACGTGTAAACGTTTCACTTTTGATTTAGACAAAGTCTAAATCCAAAGTCTAGTCCAAAGTCTACCAATATTAAAAGTTTATCTCACAGAAGTATGTCGTATGCTTGAATTGTGTCCGGATTCATCAAGCAGGAATTCATCCCACCTCACTAACTCTTGGGAAATGGTAAACTGGTTTAATTGAAGTTACAACCTCACCCGTTTGGGTTCCGACGAGCTCTCTCTCAGCTCTTAAGGTCTGGCTTCACTGCGGTTGTAAAGAAATCTGCTTATTATTGAATACCTAAATGCATGTTTCATCTTTTCCATTTCAATGTTCATAGCGAGGCCTCGGGTCAGATTAACTGCCTCACAGCTTCTCCTTTAGGAGTCACGTGACCTCAGGTCATGCCCCAATTAGATGACATATGAAACTTGGCCAATCAGGTGTCACCCATACATCTAGCCTGGCTCTGGTGAGCCCAAAATCCTTGCTCGATCCAACGACACTACCCATCCCTATGTTCAGAATCACACAGCTAGGCTACACCCTCGAAATTCACAAATGCAGAAATGGCACAGGAAATACGTCCTTTCAAATTGGAACAAAACGGTTACTTTCGGGCTGTCCTACATGTTTTATAAAGCATGATGAGGGAGTCGATATTAAAAATGGCATCGCAACATAACACAGAATGAACGCACCTTTATCTTCCGGAGTGTCAATTACTGTCCCACGATGAGCTGTAGGGAGGACGTACCTGTCAAAACAAATTAATAAAATTGAAATCAATTTTATTTCATTACACGGAAGGGGGAATGGGTGACAGCGGGGGAGGGGGGGTGGGGGGGTGGGGGAGTGGGGGGGAGGGGGAGTGGGTGACAGCGGGGGGGGGGGGGTAGAGAGGGATGGCGGGGAGAGGGATGGCGGGGAGGGGGGGGGAGGGGGGAGGAGGGAAGTGGGGAACTATGGCTATAGTCTTAACTCTTCCTTGCAAAAGGGTGAATTACACGATACTTCAACAGCGGCTTGTGAGGTTCACTATATATAAGAAATGCAAAAAAGACGCCACTGAACTACAGCCGTTATCAATAATAGTATTCCCACTAATATTGAATTAAAGGAATTCTTGTTGAGATCAGGGGAACACCCAAGGGGTCAAAGCGAGCCCTCCCAAAACGCTAAGACCAGATTCACGAAGCAGTTACTCAAGCACTTACGAACGTGTACATCTTTCTTTAATCTTTGACGGCTTTGGTTACATTTATTAAACAGTTTACAAGCATGAAAACTTCCCAATCAACTGTTGTTATTGTTATAAACAGCTTCCTGGTACTTCGGAGCTCATTAACTGTTTAATAATTGTAAACAGAGCCGCCAAAGATTGAGAAAAGATATACAGGTTCGTAAGTGCTTGCGTAACTGCTACGTGAATCAGGATCCAGGGCCCCTCACTCCTAATGCTCACTCTAAACATCCTCCTGTTCAGATAGTACTTTATATAGTACAAACACTGATGTACTAAGCAATTAGATAGTCCCCCCCTGCTACTCAAGAAGCCCAATGTGTTACATAATTAAGAAGTCGGGTATTGGGGCAGCTCCTCACCTTAAGTAGTGTATTGTGTGGACAAGTAGTGTATTGTGAGGACTAATAATAAACAGAAGCTCCCCTATGACTGCAATATCTCCATCTACTATGTGGGAATATAATTGTTGCAACGAATATGTTGTAAAATAGGAAACTGACCCTGTTTCAGAAGGCTGTAATAATCAATTGCAAAATTTTGTCTAAAGTGTGGTATTTGTCTCACAGCTTTCCCATAGACAAGAAAAGTGCTATAGAGATTGACAAAACTATTTTTAGATATGTATGGTATGGTAGATACCAACCAGTTAAACGAACTACCCTAAGTAAAGGTAAGAAAAACGGTGGTATAGGAATACTGAATGTGTACCATAAGTCATTGGCAATCTTATGTGTTACTTTTAGAAAGGAGATAATGC